CGACCATTTTCTTTTTTTCAAAGTTCAAGTTTTGTAAGCTACGGTAGTAGGAGCCAGCCATTGATTTGATCAAAAAATGGCTTTTTGGGGTTTTAGGTGGTATATCTTTTGAAGGGTCGAGAGTAAAAATTTTCTTCTACGGAGATATGTTTCCACATGTACATATAAAATTCCAGCTTTCTATCTTCAAGGGTGTAGAAATTTTGCAAACATTTGTACGGACAGACGGACGACCATTAAAAAAGTTAATGGCATTTTTAGTTTAAAACTATAACTCAAAATATAATTTTTCGATATTGGAAAAATCAACAGATCAACTTATATATTTTTATCATAATTATCAGTGAATATAATAATTTTATAGATAAATTATAATTTTATATTAATACTTTATTGTTATACTAAATAATTGCCATATATTTAAACAATGTTACTCCATTTAAAAAAATTTACAATATTCATTTTAGAAAATTAAAAAATGCTTTTCTAAAAACAGAAGATAAAGCACTTTTGATGCACTTTTTAGTTGAGTATTAACTTACAAAAACATAAAAGTTGCATTTTATTTTATAATTAATATTTTTTCTCCCGAATTTTTCATAACTTTTGAAAGAGATGATTCATTTTAGAGACAAAGAAAAGATCTACTCGAATTAGCTGAACTACTAGTAATTATAATTTTACTACATTAAAGAAATGATTTAATATTCAGACAATTATTTTTTATAAAAATATTTTAACTTGTTCAAGGGTAAAGTAATTTTTGTTTTTTGTAAATAAGAAAAGTGAGAAAATTATTTAAAGAGATAACCTAATATTAATTAATGATTAATAACTATAAATCATTGACAAAAAGAGACAACTTTTTGTTTATTTTTTTATTTTTTAAAGTTTTACAAATTTACTCTTCTATAATACTTATATAAGTAATAAGTCTTGTAAAATATACATATGTATGTAAAAATCGAATGTGAATTTTCTATTGTTAAATGGAAGGTACAAAATTTCAAGAAAATCTATGTCTTAAAAGCTGTTCAAAAATTTCAGTACTCTAGAAATTTTCCAAATTAAATATGGTAAAATGACACCTATGTTCATTAAAATAAATTGTTTGTTTAGATCTCATGAGCATTTGTGATAGCTGTCATACAACTCCAAAAGATATTTGGCATTAATTTGGTAACACGCCAACTTAAAGTCAAAGCCTGTCTCATAGTCAGCTATGACAAATTTCTCGCACATAGGATAACGAATTCGTATGGGTATCACATCGTCAACTAACTTTTTCTCGTTTTAATATATTCTTCAAAAAGTCAAAAATATAGAAACAACCTATATTAAAACCCCAATTTAGGAGATGCGACACATTCCAAAATATTATCAACCCGGCCCATAAACAAAATACACGCAGATATACGGTTTAGCCGAAATTGAGATGCGAATTCACGTTTGCTTGTGACACACCGAGATCTCTATAAAAGTATTAGAAAAACGTTAATTGAAAAATGTTGAAACGTTTTCCGAAACAATGATGTACAATTTTCGATGTATTTAAAGAAAGCTCCTTTTTATTCTTCTCTTAACGTATTATAAACGAAATATACATTGTACATGTAAGAACGAAAAAAAAAAAATTTTCAAAGGAGTTTTTCTTTAATTCATTAAAAATTCTAGTTCATTTGCTTTTCTGTCGTTCCTTTAATATTAATTCATTTGATTTTTCTGTGTGATAATTGTCGGCGAATAGTTTCCGAGAAAATTATCATTTTCTAAAACAATGAAAACATCTTTCCTTTAACGTCAAGGGTTAACACATTATATTTATTTTTTTAATATTTCTAAAAATAGAAAAGTAATAAAAAAATTTTGATAATATGTATTTTTAAACGAAAATTCTGACATGCTTCCGTAAATGTATAAAACATGTAAAAAAATTTTTGTCATATAGTAAATAGGTACCAAAATCTGAACCTCGAATTCCTAATTCAAAATGTCAAAATTGAAACCTATAAACCATTTGCACATCAATTTGGTCTCAGATCCCAACTCTCTCCGATGACTTTCTTACATGAGCAAACCAAAAATAGTTGTTAAGCAAACTCTTTCCATAACTGTTGAACTTCCGATTCAGTTTCGAATCAAAAATTTGTTTCAAGAATCTAAGCCCCTTGATAAAAGATAAGCGATTCTGTTGAGTTTAGGCGGAATTATGATTGAAACCTTGTATATGGCTAGTTTCGTTTTTTGTGAATTAAAAGACAACTCATAGTCAACAACCAAGTCAGAAAAATTAAAAAGTTTGCTAAAGTCAGTAATGTCAAAGTGCACCCATATTCAAAAAAGTGTTTGCTAGATAAGGCTAGAGTCAAGCCATCCATTTAGACGACCACCTAGATACTCCAACAATAGATTAATAATTAGGTTCCAGAAAAAAGGAGAAAGCATATTCCCTTATAAGGTGCCTCAGTCGATGGAGTGCTCATCGGTCAGGATGATCGACTACAACTCAACATTATTGAAGGCACTCTTAATATCCACGAATGCAGGCAAGGCGTACAACATACAAGTCAAAAGATTTTTATATACATTGTGCCAAGGATTGTAAAGCCATTTCCATTGACCTAACCTTCTGAGACGTATGTTGTGCTAGAGATACCAACCTCTAGCTAAGGTTATGTATGCGTCTATCTGCTCTTCAAATATCGGTAATCGAAATGATTTTAAACATCTTTTGATTACAGTTGATATGATGTATTCCCTGAGAAGAAACTCTCGTTCTGTTGAGCTGAATTCTCTGAGCAACCGAGTTATCGGACATGTCTCGTTAAACAGAAGCGTTCAGATGAGCATACAGAGTATACATTTAGATCCGCAATCATTTCGGAGCGAAGACAGACCCCAGCTCCTGAGACATCGCTTAACTAGTCTCAGAGCTTTTATCTCTGAGAAATATTCTGGTTGGAGTCTGATTAGACGATATTCGTTCAGAAAATGAATAATTTTGCGAAAAATGATTGATCTTTCTACTTCGTCACCAGATTGTAATAATTTGTAAGGCAACGGCTGTATTTGCCAATTTAGAATAATAAAAGTGGCTTGCCCATATTATGCAATATAAGCTTACTGCTTAAAGTAAATTCTAAAAGTACTCACCTTTGCAGTCTGGGCTACCCTAATCCAGTCGATCCTTTTCAGTCTTGGCTACCCACTTGAATCCTTAAAATTTTAGGTTAGAAGCATCTCCTGGAAGCCCTGCAACTTATAAGGCCGAAATACTGATGCCAACCAAGAAATAATATCTCAAGCCTCGTAACTGGCTGCAGTCAAATTTTCATTGCTGTAAAGAGGCAATAAAAAAGCATTTAAATTACTTTTTAATAAGAACACACGATACCTTTCCGCCTTGGAAACAGCTTGTATTATACTGCACTGACTCTGCAAATCTTTCCTTCTGCTATCCAGGATTACTTGAAACGCAGAAGCGGTAGACGGAGCAGCAATAAATTAGAATAAGGCTCATTTAGCGCCTGTTCTGAATCAGTGTTACCACTCTACAATGAAATAATGCGCTTAAAATCCAAAAAATAGTTCAAATTCATTAAAAAAGGACCAAAATTTGTGATATGCTTAGCTGTATAAATAAAACACTTATTGATAGTCCAAAATAAAATTTATTTTTAATGTTAAAATTCAAAAACAAAATTGAAGCAAAATCTTAAATATAGATACTACGTATTAAGTGAAAATTAAAATTACAAAAAAAAATTTAATGGCCCGGTGTCAAAAAAAAAAATTTGAAGAGGAAAAATGGGGCAAAGCGACAATACTGTTCTGCATTTTCATCCAGGTACTGCAAGCCCTCCTCCAAATCCAGATGCTTTATATCGTCTACTGTCATCTCTGCCTCAGCCAGCATTTGAACTTCTGGTAATATAGGAGGTGAGAGACTGAGCACAGTTTCTTCATTAAAAGCCAGAAACTGCTTCTCACATTTCTGGTGTTTACCTTCAATTTATATACTGGATTCGTCTTCAGCGGTGTCTTAGTCTTGTTTCGCAAAACTGGTTTACCAAACTTGTTTTTAGTTTTTATCTCGTTGATACTTTTGCTCTTCACTGAAATAAAACTTGTGAAAATTTCCCGACAAAAATGTGAAAAGAATTAATTGTTAAGTGGTACAATACATACATAAGATTTTTATGGTAGCATTGTATTAGCAGCAATAATTGGCAAAGCTGTTTATTGTTTCAAAATCGAAGCAAAACGTTTTTAAGCTGAAACTGGTCTGTCTTCATTAATATTCCAAAAATCACTACAATTTAAATTTTATCTTTTTTTAAAAACCAGCATTTAGAAATCAGACTGTGATTTACGAGTAATAATGTCATTTCTAATAAAAATATTCTAATATAAATATTTATTTTCTTTACTATGCCAGATTTTGTACTTTTCAAAATTGTTGTTACTCGTCAACTAAATTTAATAGTGGTATTTTTTTTTTTTGCTCATTCCAGTTCTCTTTTGAAACCGTTTTTGGCTATCTCGTTTAGTTTTATAGATCAAATTTTCATACAAATTTTTCACATTTTAACACGTTTGTTATAAAAACATACTGTCATGTTTTTCAGTAAAATGATATTAAACTGCAATTGGCTTTCATTCTAATTTCAAGTGACTTTTTCACATGAAAACTATGTGATTGAATGTAATATTATATATCCTTGCTTCGGGTTTTTCGGAAAATTCTGTACAGATTTTTATTTAAAGATAAATATGTACGTATTATTTAATTTAAGTTTTGCATTCTACGTTGAAAGTTTCTATTATATAATTTATTTATTACAAGTTTTGTTAGCAAATTTCCAAGATTCGTATTTCATAATCAGCTAAGCAATAGAGAAGCTCTTTCATAATTAATAATTTTAATATATGTACATAATAATAAACCATTAAAAATATTTTCAAATAGAAATTAAACATTTTTCACACATGCTTTCCAGTAATGAATAATTACCAAGCAGCAGCTGCAGCAGCACAAGGTTTTGGGCCGCCAGCCTCTCCTCATACGACTACTACAAGACAGGGATTCCCATCAACGAATTCACCAGGGCCAACAATCGATATGTATAATTCAAGCGGGGCTGACAGCGTTAATTATGTACAGGCAGCTAGTCCACAACCGTCAGGATATCCGACAATTGCAGTGAGTCGAGCTCCTTTAAATTACAGTCCAGTAAGTTATATATTAATGAAATTTTTAATAATTTTTCAAATGTTATAACTGCAATCAATAGTTCGTTACTTGCGTTGAATCCCAAAAACAGAAAAAGAGTTGAAAAACAGTAAAGTTTTTAAATATGATCAATTTTAACTTTTGTGCTTACGTACAAACATATAAATAAATTTTTTTCTTGTTTTGTTTTGTATGCACATTTACAAATATTTTGAGTCCCGATTGGTTTTGAGCATACTTTATATTGACCAACATATCATTATCATCACTGGCTGGACAACTCTGGTAGAAACTTCGCCTGTTGTAAGTTATGCCTCCACGAGAACCGGTCTCTGGCTGATGTTCTCCAGTTTGTTATTCCTATTGAGCGAGCATCTCTTTTTACGTTGTCTATCCATCTTAAATTGGGACAGCCTCTTTTTCGTTTCAGATCACTCTTTCCATAAATTTCTTTTGGTGGATAATTATTTACATGTATATGTCTTTTTGTATATGTTCCGCCCATTGTACTCTACTGATTTTAATTACTTTTAAGATAACTGGATGGTCATATAGCTGATAGAGCTCTTGATTAAATCGTTTACGCCATACACCATTCTCGATTGCTACACCAAATCTTCCATAGGAATACTGCAAGCCTATTTTCATAGATGAATTAAATCAGAATAATTTAATCTTTGTTCTGGCAGAAAATCATGCAAATCCAGAATATAGTTTATAAATCCAGAAATTAAAGAGACCAATCGAATTGCATTAATTGATTAGTTTTACAATTTTGCGATCTTTTCAAATTGAATTTACTCAAAACACAGTTTCCTGACTTAATGATTTCTGCTTTTAGCCGACGTTATATTCTCTGCTTTATTTCTATGCTAACATTGGTTTTACTGTTTATCTTTGTGCCTAGGTATTTAAGGTTTCGTATGATTTCAAGATTGCACTCTCCCATTGTTAAGTTTTGACCTAGACCATTTGCTTTTTACTCAGTTGATGTTAATATGAGTATTTTCGTTTTATTTTCGTTTATAACTAAACCCATGTACTTTTTCATGTACAACCCATGCAGCCTTTTCAATATAGTCTAAAATTAACTTTGTTACGATATCAATGTCATCCGCATAAACAAGTGTGATTACGCTTATTTATAAAAAATCGTTCCGTTTCTGTTGATTTGCAAGTCCCAATTATCGTTTCAAATTTTTCAGACACATCTTTTTGAATCCTAACCTGATTTTTTACTTTCGCAATTGTGCATTCCACTAAGCTTATAAGTTTTTTAGGGATATTAAAATATTCTATACAAGGTGATTCAGTAAAGCGTACAATATTATATATCATTATCTAGGGCAGGCATGGGGAACCTGCGGCCGTAAGGCCGCATGCGGCCTTTTAACTGTTTTTTAGTGGCCTTTGTCCTTAAAAAAATTTATTTCTTATATTTCTTAAAAGTTAAAATTTTGCTGCCAAACGAGGCTGGAACCAAATATAAAATTGTTATCGAGCAACAAACAATCACAGAAAAGTCATTGAAATAATGAACCATATTATTTTATTAATAATGTACATACTTACTTATCTATTTTTATTTATGAAATAAACTGTTTTATGTTATTTTTCATATTCTGACATAATTTTGTTTTCATCAACCTACACAAAGCAAATATTTATAACCTTTGGACTTTTTTTAAACTTTGTGGCCTGATTGACTTTGCATTGACTAAAATTTGGCCTTATATAGAGAAAAGGTTCCCCATCCCTGATCTAGGGCATTAAAAATGGGTAAATTTTTTTTTTGGAACTAGTTGTCAAAACTTAACTGATTTTAACAAATTATAATGAAATTTTTGCTTGCCCAGGCTTTTTGGCTTATAATTATACTTCCGAAAAAGATAAAAACTTCAAATGAGCAGTTTCTGAAAAGATTACAAAGGGCAAATTACACATTAAAGCAATTTTAGGTACATGTACGCAGATGCAGGAATTTTATAATTGAGTTTGAAAAATCATTTTGAAAAACTAACAAACGAAGTATACCGCTGTTAGTTAAAATAAATCTACATTATGTGAGTACCTTCCTGAAATAAAGGAAATCAGTTAATAAAATATATTGACATAATTTTGTATATATGTAAATACTAGCATTGAAACATGTTATGAACTTGAAACAAGAATCTTATCTTCACTGTGTTCTTTTTCTTATATCTTAGTATAAAAAAATCTAATGTGGTAAGCACATAACCGATCGCAATGTGTATTTTCTAGTTAAGTGAAAGTGTTACAGAATATTATAAAAATGTCTGCTAAATACTTCTTTCCAGCTTTTAGAACATTAGTAAGGTTATAGTTAACATAACTAGATAAATGTAAATTTGGCTCTTAGTAGAGTTTCGTTTTGTGCTAGCCGAATTCCCTAAAATGCTCGCCAGTTAGTTTCGGTAACAACTAGAACTCAAATATCAAATTTCAAGAAATTCCATCAATTTGTTCCGTAGATATGGTGAAGAAAGTAAAATCGGCCCGCAGATCAGTTTTCGAGCCCTGATCTTTCCAAAAAATGTATATGTTCATTGTTTTAGTACGAAAAATTTAAATATTACATTTCAATGAAATCGGTTGATTATTTCTCTTTATACACGCAAAAATGTATATTTGGTCCGTTGTAAACATCCAGTTACTGAACCCTGGTTTTCTTCCAAAAGTTAAGAGGTTTCGCGGACGAAGCTTATATATGAATTTTTCAAGTAAATCGGTTGAATATTTTCTTCAAAATGGTCAAAAATGGAAAACAGACCTGCTAAAAAGTGCAGTTCCCTAGGCCTGATATATCCCAAAAGTTGATCAATCCATGCCAATTATTAAAAATAGTTTATTTACACATCCCTACTATGGAGAAGTACGTTCCCACCGAAAACTCAATATGCAAAATTTGTTGCCATCACATAACCTACCTATTGTTTACACAATGCGGTCTGTAAAAACCAAATTTTAAAGAATCAAAGTGTATCTATTTCGAAAGTAATTCGAAACGTTCCAAACCGTTAGTTTTCGTTTGTTTGCCACTTCCATTATTCTCAAAATACTCCATTCTTATAAATAAATATATGGTAATAAAGGTATAGGCAAGAAAGAAACAAAAAATTGTAAACAAACGAGTATGTCAAAAATAGCGAATTGAAAAAAATAGGTGACAATGTTATTTTTATTGTGATAAAAACAAAATTTATTTCCTAAAATTTAATTTTTTTTTAAAAGTTGGGTAAAAATATTCGAATGTACGAAAACAATATATATAAGGTTAATATTTCATATATTGTACATATCGGACATCATAATGCAGGGTCGCTTTATACTTAAATTAATGCCTTTACATCTAACAAGTCTCAATTAATGTCTTTATATATAACAAGTCTCAATACTCAATTTTTTTTACGAAATATTAGGAATTTTTGGCTTCGTTGCTGGTTTTTTCTTTAAATGCCACTGATCGTGTCATATTTTTTATTATTTTTTTCTTTTTTTTACGTAAAAAAGAGTTTAATATTTTAAAAAATCTCAGGATATTATACACATTTTTTAAAAAGTTTCCCATTTAAATTCTATTGCACGAAAAAGACAGAAAGGTAGGAGGAAAGAAAAAATGATAAAAAATTTGAAATTCATATTTCAGTATGGTTTCAAATGTTAATGAGGAAGGATTTATGATTTTTCATGCACATTTTGTATTTCTCAATAAGGTAACTTGAGTAGTGTCGGCTAACAAAAATGTTAGTAAAAGTAATATAGGTTGGCACATTTCAGCAATTTGAATTATCTCATTTCGGTTATTTATAAGTTACTTATAAAATTGTTTCAAATAATTTCAGTTAGTTTTTAAGTTATTAAAAATAAATATGTATCTACCTACTTCCAATAAATTTTTTTCACTATAATTATTTTAAAACTATTTTAAATATGGTATATTTAGTGCTTAATAATTAATTTTTGCTCTTGTTTCACGTTTCAATAGCAGATAAACAAGAGTAATGTATTTATAAAATAGTCCTGGCTGTGTATGAATCTTAATAGTAAATGGAAACGGACAAAAATTTATATGAGTACCTACTATCTGCCATTATACATTGGGAATTTTTGAGTCATTTGCTGAGATACAATTTATGTCAAAAATAAAAAAAATATTCAAATCCGGTCATAAAAATATAGGATTGTCTTTTCCAAAACTTTTAAATATTTTTTTACTCAGGTAATATATTAAGTTTTAAAAAATTTTAGAATAAATAAAAATTGAGGTAAAATTTTGAAGCGTATACAAAATTTGTATTGGTAAAATAATATTTAATTGTATTTTAGATATTATTTTCTAATTTCCTCTTCAAATTTTTTCTGTACTATGTATCCATGTCAATATTAAACAATTGTCCTTTCATTAATTATATTTTCAACTTGACACTCAAGGTACTTCCCATATCTTGAGTTAACCTACCCTATGAGAAAAAAAAGCTGCTCGCTTAAAAATAATGAAATGCTTTCAGTAACATATAAAACGTTGAAGGCGAAGGTTGTGCTTGTTGTTTTTCCGCTTTTTTGTATGTATTTTAAGAATTTTAAAATATTTATGAATGTAAAAAATTAATATATTTAATTGATTTTTTAAATATATTTTTGGAAATTTACCTGCTTCACAATAAATGTGAATTTCTTTTAATACTCAAAAAATATCCACTTCAATTTAAAAAAAAACCATACAAAATAAGGTCGTGCTTTCAAGTTTCTCTCTTAATATTGGGACTTATTAGATATAAAGACATTACTTTAATATATAAAGTTTTCTGTAAGAAAATAATAGAGAAAATTTACTCATATATTTGTAAGTTAGTTTTATACCAACGTTTTTTAGTGTTCGATAGTAATTTACTCTCGGGTATATACTCGTATTAAATTCAGGAAGTCGAAGTTAAATTTTTGAGTTGTGTCGCTATTTTTCCCAATATGCGATAGGCATG